AAACTGTGCTGGGTTCTATTAGGGGTAGAACTGAGTAAACAAGTCACAGGCCTAAAGAAACTTATAATTAATTAGGGGTAAATAATACAAGACACCAATAAAAGTAAAGCAAGGCAGAATATAAACATTAAATGAAGCAAAATGTGGCTACAGGGATCCTAAGAAAAAGATCTCTTTGATTGTAAGAGAAGGAGTGGTGAAAACAAGAAAAAGCTCCATGAAAGAGAATATGAAATGGGAAGGATTTTAATTGATAGAGGAAATGACAGGCACTTAAATAAAACAGAGCGAGCATGGGGCCACTGTAAAGAAACAGTGAGTCACATAATGGAGTTTGGTTAGAATACAGGATGTATAAAGGGACTGGGCAGGAAGTTGGAAATGTAGGTTGTGAGGGCTTTGAATTTTCAGGAGGGAGGACCTCTGCAAGCTTTCTGGGTTGAGCAATGGGAAATTATCAGAGGCTTCAATTCAAGGAACTGTCCTACCACTTCACTTCTCATCACCTCTACTGCTACCATCTTGATTCAAGCCGTTGTCATCTCTTTATCACTACAACTACCTCCTAACTGAAATCTTTCTGCTTCTACTATTGCACTCCTATAATCAATTTTCTGTACAGCAGCCAGACAGATCCTCTACTCAAAACTGGCTACTCAGCAATGGCTTCCCATCTCTCACCCTATTACACCCACACTGGATCTCCCCACTGTAGTTCCCTGAACATTCTGCCTCTACCACTCTTACCCTTTTTCTCTTTACCTCCTTCAGGTCTTAAGCCTTCTCTGACCCCACACTATATAAAACAGCAAGCCCCACCAACTCCACACCCCTCAAAAGTAAAAAAGCCAGCATTCCTCTTTTCCCCAAATCAACTAGTATTTTTCCCCATAGGACTTAATAGCATCTACCATCTCTAGATTTTACTTCGTCTGTCCCCACATGTATGCGTGCATGCACACGTACACAAGAATTGAAGCTCTACGAGAGCAGATTTTTTCCCCTTGTTTTGTTCATTTCAGTATCTCCGGCACCTAGAACAGTGACTGGCATATAGCAGGTGTTCAATAAATATTTGCTGTGTGAATGAAGGGAAGAGAATGCCGTGATGTTAGTAGGTATTTTGTAGAAATGGTTTATGGCATACTATAAATATTCACATAAATACTACTTATGGTGAATTTATTCTAATTTACTACTTAATTTTCTCCTGGGAACTATTCACAAATATAATGCCAGTAAATTAAGCTTTCAGCATGCTGGCAACCTGTAATTTATTAGCAATTTATCTTTGCAAAGTTTATCTTTACAGTTATTTGGAATAGGGCTAGTGATGACAGAAACAGTAAGATGGAGCCTTCATTCTCCTATTTTCCTTCTCTTTTCAATCTTCCCAAACCACTGAGCAATGACTCCATCTCACCTCCCTCTTCCTCCCCATCAATAGAGCTACTGACCTCTTCCCTTTCCCAGGGAGTAATTCACAGACTTATGAGCCCTTAAGGAGCCCTGGTGGTACAGTGGTTAAGTGCTTGGCTGCTAACTGAAAGGTCAGTGGTTCAAACCCACCAGCTGCTCCACGGGAGAAAGATGTGGCAGTCTGTTTCCGTAAAGATTTACAGCCTTGGGGACCCTATGGGACAGTTCTACTCTGTCCTATAGGGTCACTGAGTCAGGATCAACTCGACAGCAATGCGTTTGGTCTTACGATGAGTCCCTACCTAGGCCAAAAAAAGAAACTAAGTGTGTTGACAGCAATTAAAGGATAGCCCAGAAAAAGGGAAGTTACTGCAAGGGAACCTGGGGAGGGCAACGATTCTTAATTCAAATATTTTTAAGTTAGAGGCTCCTTTCATTTTAAAAGGAAGTCAACCCAAATTAGCACTAAATCTTTACTTATCCTTTTTAAAAATATACAATGCTGAAAAATACAGTGATACTTTATGTATCTGTTTTAAAGTTAAATATCTGACTTTTTATTTTATTACGGATTTCAAGCAGCTGTGTTGTATCTTAACCTTTTACCAAATCTGCTTCAGATTTATTTTAAAGATAGTAAAAGAACGGTTGAAAACCCATGGCCTCTCCTAGATTCTTTTCACCTCTCCAGTTCTCCAGAGGTTAACTTCGATTCTGAGTGGGTGTTCATCATCATTTCCTGCATGTTTTTATACTTTTACTAAATATTCCAGGAGTAATAGGAAACATACAGTATAGTTTTGTATGTTTTAAAACTTTACATAAGTAGTATCATGTTATATCCTGGCTTGGTCATCTACCAGCTGTTTGACCTCGGTCGGGCAAGTTATTTAACATCTCTGGGCCTCAGCTTCCTCGAAAGATGGGGATAATACTACCTTATAAGGCTGCTGTGAGGATTAAATGAGTTAATATATAAAAGCACTTAGAAAAGTATCTTGCTCATAGGAAATAGTCTATATCACTGTCAGCAATTATCCTATAAAGTTGCAAAAAGTACTTGGGTTTAGTGTGTATGTATATATACATACAGAAAAGAGAGAGAGAGAGATGGACTGATTACCAACATGATGTATGTAAAATCTATTTAATGCCAGCTGTTTTCAAAATTGAGTAAAAACTAGAAATGCTTATGAAATAAAGGCTGGAAAGATTCACTAGACTACTTAAAGAGGAATTAAAAGTGCGAACCATGGGAAAAAAATAGCCTTTTTAAAAAAAATTTAATAATTATAGGCAAAGGAGCCCTGGTGGTGTAATGGTTAAATGCTGTGATGCTAACTGAAAGGTCGGTGATTCAAACCACCAGCCACTCCGAGGGAGAAAAGACCTGGTGACCTGCTCCCACAAAGACTGACCTGCTGCCCTCAAGTTGATTCCAACTCACAAAGACCCTACAGGACAGGGAAGAACTGCCCCGCAGGGTTTCCAAGGAGCTGCTGGTGGATTCAAACTGCTGACCTATTGGTTAGCAGTCAAATGCTTAACCACTGTGCCACAAGGGCTCCCCGTAAAGACTACAGCTTAGGAAACACCGGAGCAGTTCTACTCTGTCCTGTAGGGTCATATGAGTAGGAACTGACTAGAGGGCACACAACAACAACTGAAAGCAACATTAAATTAGAATATAAACATTTGACTTAAATAATTTATGGCATTGCTTTAAAAATACCAAGACACTTAGCAGCCTCCTTTTATGAGACTTGGGGTTTGGCGGTGGGAGAGAAGGAGTGATTCCTCAATGAGATGCTGCTACTCAAAGACTTCCTAGCCTGTTGAGGGAAGCACTTTATATTTCATGAAATACAAAACACTATTTAGTTCTCAAATTTTTATTACTTCTCTGAACTAGTTTTTAACTAATTCTACACAGAACAAATTAAAATTTACAATGTTTTATAATAGGATTCATGTAGTTTACATGATTTACGTAAAGACGATTGGGTTCTGCAAAATTTATCAATGCAATTATGGACACATTGTCTTTGTTTCGATATAGGATTAATTTTATAATAGTCTCTAGGTCAAAAGATTACAACACATTCCAAATTTAAATGCCCTGAATATTAAGTGAATTCTAGTGAATTTCTTTCAACAGCTTTTTAAATATTTTAAACTGTATCTATGCTTTGAAGATCAATTAACATATCTGATACACATGTAAACAAAGGAACAACTGGAGCTAACCAGTATCTATAGGTGTCATTTACAGTGCTGAATGTTCTAACCAGAATCCGTCTTTTAAACCCCTGAAAAATCTTCATGGACAAAATTTAGATGACTAACACAGATACTTTCTTTGAACAAATACACTTCTGTAAAGAACTAAAAATGACAACTGCAAAAGCCAACCTTTATGCTGGGAAAGCATATAAAATGTGCTAGTTCAACATAATAGTGTTGACACATTTGTTTTCCCCACAAATGAGCATATATTTCTATGTCTAAAAGGTTAACTGAAAGCAACCATTAAACGTAACCTTCAAGAATAAACCTTACCTCCTCCATCCCCCAAAAAACTTCCAAGTACGAGAATATAGGCACTAGGAGGGAAAATTTATACATTAGGAAAAGTTCCAAAGTAAAGTTCTACTTTTCTTCTCCTAAACTGAAAACTCTGAAAAGGAACCACTGCCTTTGTTTTATTTGCAACCCACCCCCCCGTAAAATATTTGCATGTTCTCCTTCTCTCAGCCCCAACAGAAGATTCAGTGGGAAATCAGGCTACAAATTCCATAAAACAATAAGAAAACAAATATTTAGCCGTTCGTACTATTTTTCTAAACGGAGAAAGGACCCTACCCGCTCACGCAATACTCTTGTACCCTGCCCAATCAAGACGCAGCAGCTGCCAAGGTGAGCACTTAAAGAATAAATGGTCCAACTTTTCGAACATAATCTGGGGAGGAGAAGCAGATTATTTCTTGAGGAGTGCAAGAAGGGAGCAGAAAGATCCTCTCAGAAAGGGACGCCTGAGTTTTGGGGTCGTCTCTTCCGTCTGCCGAAGGACTCAAAACTCACTTCATTCAGAGACCCTTGTGAGCGGCACAGTCCGGCTGCGGTCGGCCTCGGGCCTGAGCGAAGCAGACAGTGTTTACACCTGTCACGAGGGAGAGGAAGGGAGAAAGAGGAAGGCCGAGCAAAGCCCCAAACTTCTCAACAGCTCCCGGGAGGGAGCGGCCGCCGCGGAGCTGTGGGCAAGTGGAAGCCTAGGAGCAGGGCAAACCGGCGGTGGCCGGGGCGGAGAAGCGGGTCACATTTCCCGGGCCGGTGTCTGGGATGGCGAGAAGGGGGGCGCGCGCTTCGGGCGCCGGCTGTGGTGTCCCCGCACCCGCCGCGGGTGAAGGCAGAGCCCAAGCCCGGAGCCCGCAGGCCCGCAGAGCCGGCTGCGTCCCCGCAGCCCCAGGCTCAGCAGCGGGCAGGTGCCCCGGGTCCCGGCGAGGGTCCGGCCGGTGGGCCGGGCGCGGGCCCCGTACCCTCTTCTCTGTGCGCCGGTGGGAGAGCCGAGCGGAGGCGCTTACCTGGCTCGTCCGGGGCGGCCGCGATGGGCATGGCTCTGGGGCCCGGGGAGGAACTGGCTCCCCGGGAAGGACCGGCTATTCTGACGGGGAGTTGGTGAAAGCCGAGAGGAGGTTGCTCACAGCCCTGTCAGCCAAGCAGCGGCATGGACGCCCACCCGGAGTGTCAGCGCTGCCGCGGGACCCCCCATCCCACTACCCTCCGCCCTCTTCCGCCGCCGCCGCCTCCACCTCCTCCTCCGCGGAGACCCCCCGCCCACTCCACACACTCTCCCATCATGCAGCGGGGGAACTGCTACCGCCGATACGTCACTTCCGGGCGCGGGTGGCTGGGTCGGGGCCGGGCGCTGGTGGGAGCTGGCGGGGGGCGGGGAAGACACTCCGGGAGAATTAGTGTCACAGACGCTTATCCCTGCGCAGGCGTAGTGGTGCAGAGCGCCGGCCGCCATTTTGGGTGTGGGCAGGTAAGCCCTTTTTACTTACTTGCGAGTCTTCGAGCTGTAAGGGGGTGGGGAAGACGTCTTCCCGCACTCCGCCGCCGGCTGAAGCGGGGCTCCCGGCGACAGACAGGTGCTTCTCAGCCGGTTGAAACTGTTAACGTTCATCTCAGGACCACGTTAAGTCTCTCCCTCTCCAAATAAAATTGCAAAGCTTTTGAAATACAGAACCATATCCTTTTCTCCGTCAAAAACCTACTAGAGAGCACTTACCAACTTGCCCTTTTCGCCCCGTAAAACGACTTTTTCATTCACAGTTTAAGTCCCTTCCTCTTTTTTAAGCCGACATAGGAGGAAGCTAATATATAACAAATAACAAAAAAGAGATTGTTATAAATCAAACTTAAGGTGGGAAGCAGGAGGGAAAGCAGCCGCCGAACTGACCAACGGCAACAACAAAAAATCCCGGCACTTTGCTAAAGGAGACGGTGGTCATTTTTCAAAAATTATGCGGGAAAATATCTAACGACACTAAAGAAATCAAACCAACTTCTGTATTTAAATGCATTTCTCTAACAGAGGTCAAAACAGGTTCTCCTTTCTATTATCAGTCCAAGCGATTGCTCATTTGCATTTTATAATCTCCTTTTCCCCCTTTATCAGGAATATCTGTTAGAACACTGGTCACTGTAAAAATCAGACTATGTCACCAGGCTACAAGGATGTTGTTATCGTCCAGGATGATGTGCCCGGGGTCCGGGGATGGATCCTGATGCTGGATCCTCAGGGTTTCAGGTCTGCTCATGTTTGCCTAACCTGTACGGGTTATTTGAATAATTTTTAAAATAGTTCCAAAACTGCAAAGCTCAGCACCTACAAAAACAAGGACGGTAAACACACCCTCAGCCACAGAAGTGTCCACCCGTTTGAGTAAAGGAATTATACAAATCAGGGGAAAGATCAGGACAATAGCAGTTCATCACTGTTTATCCCGCCTCTGCAATGTTGTAGACAAATTAACTTGGAGAGTTAAATAGACCCATATTTGTCTCTTTACAGCTTAGTCGTTGTAAGATATACGGAGACTGCATCACTTGAAATTGGAGTACCGATTGCTTTGTGGTAGTGCTGGGTTTTTTGTGATTGCTCAGTCACTGAAGTGAAAAAATCTATACGGCTTGTCAAATTTATTCCTATTGTATTTCGCCCCCTGCTGGTTTAGCTCGTGTGCCAGCTTGAAAATACTGTATATGTCACTATAAATGTTTATTGACCAGGAAGGAAAGAAACAAAAAATATTTGTGTGTGTGTGCCGAGAAACTGGAAATAAATTGATTTTAGACAACTACGTGCTTGTTTTAATTTGATAGCTGTACTAAACAGAAATATCAATAAGAACATATGACAAGATCCTAAAGCAACCCTATACCAGTAAAATATGTAAACCAAAATAATGAATTTAAATGTCAAAACCCTGCTTTCAGGAAAGTACCTTCCTGATTTTAGCATATAACATATGATTATAAAATGAACATTTTTGTCAAGTAAATGCAGAAGCCAATCCTACTCACTTAGGGACAATTCAAAAGTCATCTTGAGACTTGTATGTGGAAATTGAGTAGCTGTTTGGTCAGCTGACTTGTAAGTGCAGTCAACCAACCTGTAATTGGTAACCTTGCCCTTAATTCTGAAGACAGCATTCTAATGCTTATGAAATTGTATTCCAAAAGGAAAGTCTTTATCTCTGAATGTTTCTAAGATGATAAGTCTGTGGGAACTAAGTAGAATTCGTTACTTGGACCCGGTGATAGTCTTATTTTTTTCTTTTTAAAATTATAAACATAACTGCATTACCAAAGATTTGGCATCAAGAAAAGAAAAAAAAAAAACCAATTATCTTTTATTGTATTTCTAATTTTTTCTCCTGTGCAGACTTTTTACAAAGTTGTAATCACAACGTAAATAGATTTATATCTTTTTTTACTTAATGTTATATTGTAAACATTTCCTCCTATTGCTTAAAATCTTATAAAACCTTAATTTTAATTGCTTATATAGTATTCAATCGAGTGGACATACCATGATTTACCCATTACCCAATTAGTGAATATTTCCTACTAGTGCAAATAATACTTTGATGAATACTTCGTACATGTGGCTTTGTCCAATTTCAGGAATTTTTTCTTAATATGAAAATCATTGGGCCAAAGTCTGTGAATGTTTTATTGGCACTTCATTTGTGTAAAATTATTTTATTATTTTCCAAAAGACTATACCGATTTGGAGCCCTGGTGATGCAGTGGTTAAGAGCTTGGCTGCTAACCAAAAGGTCGGCAGTTGGAATCCACCAGCCACTCCTTGGAAACCCTATGATGGGGAAGTTCTCCTCTGTCCTATAGGGTCTCTATGAGTCAGAATCAACTTGACGGCAACAGGTTTGCTTTTGGTTTTATACTAGTTTACAATGCCACGTCAATATAGGAGTGTATCAATTTTACCACCTCTTCACCAGCAGTGAATAATAATTGAAAGAAAAAAGATTAAAAGACTAGAAGTTGAAAGGAACTTAACCTACATTATATTTGTATAAGAAATCAACAAATAAGCAAGCACGCAACCTCAGCAATGTGGTGTTCTGGAAAGGCAATATACCTAGACCTGGGTATATGAACAGGCTCTACCATCACTATGATTTTGTATGAATTACTTAACTTCTCTGGACCTCAGTTTCCTTAGGTGTCAATTGAGGGAGTTGAACTAGACCATTAGCAACTATTTAGCACACGTGCAGCGGTTAAGAGCTCAGACTGCTAACCAAAAGGTCAGCAGTTGGAATCCACCAGCCGCTCCTTGGAAACCCTATGGGGCAGTTCTACTCTGTCCTGTAGGGTCGCTAGGAGTCGGAATCAACTTGATGGCAACGGGTTTGATTTGGTTTTATATCTTTCTGCAGAAAATGCTTATACCAACAAACGCCCAAATTTCTTAGACTTCAGGTCTATGAACCCCAGGTTAAGAAACTGAACCAGATAATCTCCTTTCTGTATGTAAATGGGATCCTTTCTGTATCTATACGTTTTCTTATGATTCTGTTTTATACCCCAGTAAACATTTCCTGACCAAATAAGTACTTTTTAATAGATAAATGAATTGTGGTATATTCATAGATGGATTACTATTCAACACATAAGTAAAACTGGAACTATAGGTTATCAGTATGGTTAGATTGTAAAAACAATGAAAAGTAAAAAAAGCTTCAGAATGATAGTAAAATATGATGTGAAGTTTACAATGTAAATGATTTTTGAAAATAAACCAGTATGTTATCATCTATGGTTATACATTTTTGTAGTAAAGTATGGAATGGATCAGCAAGCACTAAAGAGAACTCCATCTGTAACTGTAGTATTTTATATTTTAAAAAATCTGAAGCAAATATGACTGTTTACATTTAATTCTAGGTGGAGGGCACATAGGTGTTTATTATATAATTCTTTGCCATGTTCTGTATTCATTTTTTATCATTAAAAAAATTACTTTTCCAGAACCAGTTATTTTAAAACCATTATTTGTGACTAGCAACCTAGAGATAATTCCTGATATATTATTATAATGCTAATATCTTGGATTTGCACAACTTCTCCAAAGTGTTTTCAAGTATATTATCTCTTTTGGTTCGCTCACAGACCCTTCGAAGCAGATTAAGACCATTTTATAGAAGAAGACATGATCAGAAATTTTGAGATCTGTATGAGATGAAGAAGTTAGAGATGGCGTTAGGACCAGAACCCTGGTCTCCTGATTCAGAGTTTTTTTTCCCTACACGATTTGGCCTTCTCACTTAATAGGAAAATAAAGTTGTGGTCCCTCAGTTTTTTCATAGCTAAAGACAGTTTAACTTATTTTGTCATTTAATACACTTTTCCCATTTTCATGTTTAAGTTGTTTTCTAATGGAATCTTTTTTTTTTCCCTCACAATGAGTATGATAAATAAACCAAGAGAGGCTTCACTATAATACCTTAAAATATTGTGTAGTACATATAATTTGAGCCGCTGAAAAACTTTGAAAAAGTACCTGGAAGCAACTTTAGAAATCATCTAGTCCAACAGCAACCTCTTCTCCACCACTCCCTCCAAATCTACAGGTAAGATTAATAACATCCTAAAAGATTAAATGACAAAGACTTCCTCAATGATCTAGTTGGTTTGTAGAGAACTGGGTATTAGAAGCCAGGTTTCATGTTTCTAATCCAGAGTAATTTTCACTCCTTCCCTAAACTACTTCTTGTTTCTCTCTTTTACCAAAGCACATAAGGAACCAAAACTATTGGGAACCCAAAGAAAATTGTTTTCTGTATGTGCAGTTGGCTGTGGCCATAATATAAAGCATGTTTAAGATAAACATTTAAGTCAGATATAAATCATGTTACAATTACTGTGAGGTCATTTAATCATGTGGAATGAAAGTACATTAAAAAAAAAACTTGTTTTATAATAGGGATACAATTAAACTATTTTTGTTGCTAATATTTTTGTGGCTGGTTTGATGGGGATTTCACCAAGTTCCAGAAGTGTGATTAGCAATAGAGATTTTGTTTCTTAATTATTCCCACTCACCTTTCTTGGGCTTGCTTATCAAGTTTATTTCATAAATAATTAAAATTACAATTTGGTATTATAGTACTTTCTCAGGTCATCCTTGACAAATATTCAATATGTCGGGCCACAGTATAGACCTTTCCAAGAATAAAATTTGAAAGAATAGGTTTCTGGGGACAGGTA